TTCTCAGTAGTGACAGATGGCAGAACAAGGAGCAATGGTCTCAAGTTGTGGTGGGAGAGGTCCAGATTGGATATTAGGAAAAACTATTTTACTAGGAGGGTAGTGATGGTCTCAAGTTGTGGTGGGAGAGGGCCAGATTGGATATTAGGAAAAACTATTTTACTAGGAGGGTAGTGAAGCATTGGAATGGGTTACCTAGGGAAGTAGTGGAGTCTCCATCCCTAGAGGTGTTTAAGTCTCGGCTTGACAAAGCCCTGGCCGGGTTGATTTAGATGGGATTGGTCCTGCCTAGAGCGGAGGGCTGGACTTGACGACCTTCTGAGGTCTCTTCCAGTTCTGATTCTATGATAAGGGGATGGTTGGATGAAATAACATGATCTTGGTAACTAATTGACCATTCATTTCCAGTTGGAAATAGGTCAATGGAGGGATGATAGGAGTTGCTATAGGGAACTTTCTGGGTGTCTGGCTGGTGAGTCTTGCCCACATGCTCAGGGTTTAGCTGATCGCCATATTTGGGGTCAGGAAGGAATTTTCCTCCAGGGTAGATTGGCAGAGGCCCTGGAGGTTTTTCGCCTTCCTCTGTAGCATTGGGCACAGATCACAGCTGAAGGACTCTCTGCATGTTGGGGCCTTCAAAGTATTGGAAGGCTTCAATATCTGAGACATAGGTGAGAGGATTATTCTAAGAGGGGTGGGCGAGATTCTGTGGCCTGCACTGTGCAGGGGGTCAGACTAGATGATCATAATGGTCCCTTCTGACCTTAAAGTCTATGAGTCTATGAGTCTATGAGTCTATGAGAGGAGTGGAACAATGATCAAAGGCAGAGGAGCAGAAGGGTAAGAATTCTGAGATCATAAGATTGGAGATAGAAAAAGGGTCAAGTTCAAAGCAGAAAGTAAAGAAACTGGGTGGTTCTGAGAACCACAAAAAAGGAAGCCAAGGAGGCAGACACTAAGAAGGAGAAAAGAGAGTAAGGGATGACATGTAAATGAGAGAGCACCGAGCAAAAAGGGCAGGAAGCTAGTAGGGGGAATGGAAAAAGAACAGGCTCATGGTAAAGGTCAGTTAGCAAGAAGAGAGCTCTACCACCTAGACTGAAAATCCAGCATCAGAGTCCGTGGATTTGCCTTAGAGAAAGAATAGATTTCATTCTTCAGTACTACCAAATCTGACACAAAGCATTAAATGTAAAAATACATTGAATGTCTGTGTAAGATGTGCCCTTGTTGTTATTCCTATGCTTTAAAGTTTTTAAATACTACACTAGTGGTCCCCAACGCAGTGCCCGCGGGTGCCATGGCGCTCGCCGGGGCTTTTGTGTGTGCCCGCCTACTGACCAGGGCCAGCCCGAGCCATTCCTGCATCAAGGGCACGCAGTGCCACCCCCAGTGGCGTATGCGCAGTGCCACCCCTGGGCACGCAGCACATGTGTGGCCCCGCCCCCAGGTGCCCAGCAGCCCCAAAAGGTTGGGGACCACTGTACTACACCAATAGATATAATTACACATTTTGAGTGTCTAGACTACAGGGTTTTGTCGACAAAAGTGGACTTTTGTCGACATAACTATACCTGCGTCTACACTGCCGCTGAGTTCTGTTGACATAACGTCAACAGAACTCAGCAGTTTTGTCGACATCTGAAAACCTCATTCTACGAGGAATAACGCCTTTTGTCGACAGAGTTCTGTCGACAGAAGGCATTATTGCATCTACACTGTCCTTTGCATCTACTTTCATGTTGACAAAGCGGCTTGCTTTGTCGACAGAACTGGATGTAGTCTAGACGCTGTTTGTCTACAGAAGCTTTGTCGACAGTATTTGTCGACAAAACTTCTGTCAACAAAAGCCTGTAGTCTAGACGTACCCTTTAGTTTTACAGGTTTAGAGACTTCAGAGGTTTTTTTAAAAAATCAGTTAAGGTCCATATGAAAGCAGTACTGTACACCTTGTATTCACCTTTCCATTAGGAGTTTGTCTAATTCCTGTTTGTTATTAAGAGGATGAATGTTGGCTTCCCCACTCTTTTGGAGTTATAGTATATGGCTAACATTTTGCAGTTTAGAAGCTTTAGGGGTAGCCGAGATAGTCTGTACAGAAAAAAAAACCAAATGGTCTGATAGCACTTTATAGAATAACAAAACATGTAGATGGTATCATGAGCTTTCATGGGCACAGGAAAGGGACACAATTCAAAAAACAGGCATTACTGAAACATTGTAGAATGGAAAAAATCAAAAGCATATATTGTTATATCTGAGCTATACAAGATGAATAGTGGAAGGAAAAGGGATGGAGATGCAGCACTAGATTTAAAACAAATTCCACAATCTGGTCATTCAAGTAAATATAAATCATAAGACTACAAATATACCATATGCAATTACACTAGACTTGTGACACTCAAAATGTAGAATGGGCATGATCTGACTATTTTTGTTGTGCTTGTACAGCACTAGCAAAATAGCGGCCTGGTCAATGACCAGAGTTCCTAGAAACTACCACAAAACAAACAAACAAAGAAAAGCTCATTAAAAAGACCCTAGTGAAATTAGAATCCTTGAACACGGTGCTTAGATATAGCAGTGTACGTTAACAGATTCAGAGAAGGTGTGCATACAATTAAATTGAAAAGGAAGCAAAAGATCAGAAAAAAATTAAATGATAGTACCAATAAAATTGGGTGACAATTAAAAACGAATAAATACACTTAGAAAAATGTGATACTATTTGGAAAAATCAGAAAGATTTCTGTAAAGAAAAATCAAGTATTTCTAATCTACTATAATTCTGAGCCCTTTTAATGAAAAAAAAAGAGCTGAAGAATAAGTAGATTGATTTATTTAATCTTAAAACAAAACCCCAATAATTTTTTATAAGAGGCTGTTAAGGAAACGAAGTAGTCATGGAGTGACAGATAAAGTTATGTCAGGGATTAGAATCTGGCTGAGAAACATAAATAGTTTGCATTTATTCCTAAAGTAGATATTCTAACAGTAGAATATCCCAACAATCTTTATTAGGACCAGTATTGTTTTTAGCATAATTATTAAAGAACTGTAAAAAATAGCTAGCAGTCAGGTGGCAAAACTTGCAGAAAAAACAAAATTATTTAGATCAGTTCAGATGACAAGATACAGAGGAAGTGCAGAGGAACCTAACAAATAAGCACCAACAAAGGCAAGCTAAAACTCATTGGAAGGAATAATTTCAACTACTTATACACCATTGTTGGGTTATAAATTAGCTATAACCACACAGGAAAAAGACATGTCCCTCTCACTGTAGGCAGTTCAATAAACATCTCTCCTCAATATACACCAACAGTCAAAAAATAAGCCATGTTAGAATGTAGAAAGACAGGGATAGAAAATAACCCCAAAATTGTGATATAAACCTGTGGTATCCCTTTATCTGCAGTATGGTGTTCTGTTAGATCTCCATATAGAAGGGGTACAGGGAAAGGTGAAGAAAAAAACCTCACTTGATATGGAAATTCTTATGTTACCAATGTCTGGTCACTACCTGGATATATCAGTCCACAAATTATGACTCTTTATGATAGCAATGTTGCTATACTGATTGGGGTCTCTCTCAATCAGTGATGCCATGACAAAGTTGTAGTGGAGAAAATCAAACAGAGTTATGAATATTACTAGCAGATTCCATTGAAAAAAAATGAAGAAACCTAAAAGAAGAAAAAAAATGAGAGCGAGAACAAACATGTGCACACCTAGATATGATAAAAAACAGTAGATTTGTAAAACTTCCAAAAGTGTCTGCCGATCAAGCTTTTCTTATGCTTGGATTTCAGCTACCTGTGCAGCTGCACCAGTGCAACCCCACTAAAAGGATGAGTTACATCAAAGCAGATCATGCTGCACTTGTGTAAATCTTGATCACATTACAGAGTTTCATCAGGGCAGTTATGCCAGTAGCTGAATTCTCAATGGCAGACAAGGAGACACACATAAAAAATTGCCAAAATAATAAATAAAACAAAAGCCTTAGGAACTGGTTTCCTTTGCATTTTCATTACAACTCTTTTTTGCTCATCATAGTAACCAAGACTAAGGAATTACAAAGAATCTCCCCCCTACCTACAGTGTATTGTTCTTTTTTTCTTTAGGTCAAATTCAAAATACACAAATTCCATATTTACACTATTTCATCTTCCTAAATCAACACCATGACTACCAGTCAAGGATACATCCAGTACTCCATCTTCACATAATATCTTTTTATTACAATATCCAAAAAACTGGGTAAGCAAGAATTTGAGATTTCAAGATCCCTTCTTCAATCTCAGGAATGTGCCATCTCAAGACTGTATATTTAAACCATAAAAGAGTTTAAATGTAAAGAAAAGAGAAAATGCATTTTCTTCATAAACATTCTGTGTGTCTCTTACTACCAATCCTACCATCCTCTGTAAACCCTGAAGTTTTTCTCTGTAAAGCAAATATATATATATATATATA